CGTAACAAGATCTATTGGTTGAAAGGATCAGACAAGTTTTGTGAGCCAATTACAAAGCGCAATGGAACAAACCTGATGCAATTCCAGATTTGTGCTAAGGACAGTCAACTGTAAATTGTTCGATTAGAAGAAGTGTAATCGATGTTGCACAGTCTTATTGCCCAAATAAACTTGTCAGTGTCCTAACAGTGCCCTTCGCTCCGACGAAGGGCTAACGCTCGAAACGTCAGCTTTTGTAATCATTACGGTGGCCAATTTACCATTTCAACTTTGTTGATATATCCAAATTATAGTGTCCTAACAAGATCAACAAACACAATGACAGGAGCGGATCCTGGAATTTTCAGAAAACCTTTTGACACACCAGAGCCTAAATAGGCTAACTAATATTTCAAGACGAGCCAATGTCGTAAACTACATATTGAGTAGTAACGTGCGATCCGGTTATCTTTGCAAGAATGTTGGTGTCGCACAAGTGCTAAAAGAACAGCAGATCTTATGAAAAGGGGGGGGGGGAAGGAAATACACCTTGTCACTTATTATGGTTTGATCTGTCCTAATTCTGCTATGGTTGCAATCTTTGTATTAACAGCATCTTGCTAAAATAAGCCATGCTCTCCGTTCGACCGTGTGCAGCGTAAACATAATTACCGGCCTTCCTTAAACAAAAAATTTGCGAATACAATGTCTCGCAAACTGGGCGACTAATTGATTCTTGAAAATGAAATGTAATAGATATGAAAAATAAATATTCCTAGTTGCACGATGGAAACATTTTTCGGGCCGCAGTATTCGCAGTTGAATTAGTGAATACTTTTATTAAACCTACGTTTGCTCAAAGCTGAAAGAGCAAGTGTCATACAAAAAATTTCACATTAATTCGAAGATAGCTGATATCGTGCTAATTGCACCGTCACTCATGTTGCTAAGACAGGTTGCCATACAATCAAGAAGGCTGTGTCAATATCATTTACTCATTTCTAAGACAAAAGTTTAATTTGCTCTTTAAGACACATTCTCCCCGCGATTGTAGGATAGATCACGGATGTGGTTTTTCTGAGAGACACAACTTCAGTATGAAATACTCCAAATGATATGATTTGTGTTTTCTTTCTCGCACTCGTCTCCTTGAGGGTTTTCTTTCTTTTTATCTTCATAATTTCTGGACTAAGATACACCGTGTGTCAGGTAGTACATCCTTTTACACGTATCCTGACCTTTTTTACGAGGACTTGTGCGACTGCTTTCCCTAAAACCTTAGATTCTACATCGATTTAAGAAATTTACGGACTGCATGCACTTAAAGAACTCAAGGTCACATTTTTGGCGAGGGTTAGGGGAAATACTAAATGGATCCTCAAAAGCAGGTCATTAATCATTGCTTCAAGCGGGGGGGGGGGGAGGGGGTGTTGGAATAGTTTGCTTGTGCCGCGATAAAAGTTGCCTGATCCTTCAGAAGGCTCTGTAATATCCTCGTGACCCCCCCTCTCCACATAGTAATCCATAAACCCCCCTTTATACTCCGTTGACGACGACTTATCCTCCCTTCGTCCCCCCCTAAAAATCATTTAATCCCCTCCCCCAACCCCTCCACCCATCTTCCTCCAGGAAATAAACAATGATAGGTCTCTTAGGCAGGATGGTGGTATTAAAGTCTTATGACTTCAGGCCTCAGTCATTAACTAATCTTGTAATTGGTAATAACTTCGATATTCTTGCCGTCAGCTATTTTTCAAGGATGCGGAGCAGAAACTGTCATTTTCTTCTTAACTGTACTGTCATCAGCCGTCATATTCCCCGCTATTGGTAAATATTGTGATCACGTGATCACAGTGCTCGTCGCTCTTGGAGCTGCTTGTCTCACCGGCGACGCGATCTTTCACCTCTTACCGCACGTAAGTAAAACTAACAACTCAAGGGAACTGTACTCATTCTGAAAGCGTTCATGGAAATAGAGCTTGTTTTTTAAATGAGATCCCTAAAGCCAAAAGAGAAAAAATCATAAGGGCGGACAAAACGATTGAGAGCATCCTCGACAAAATACCGTCAGATTGTGTCAAGAGGGGAGAGTGAGCAAGTTGCTGAGTCTCAGCTTTTCATTTGATTGGTTGAGGGGATGGCACAGAGTGGAGTAACAAAGCACGCGTGCAATTCTTGATTACCTCTGGCACTCAACTTCAGCACTCCAATCTTAAATTCTTTAGGCATTACATCACCACGACGACGTTGGCACTACGGAATCCAATCATAGCGTACTTTTATGGCGTTCCTTCTTGGTTTTGTGCAGTATTTATTTCTTCTACCTGTTTCATCTCTTTTTTCAAGTCATGGAGGTAGGTAGAGCAAAATTGAGGTTGGCCTGTTTGTCTGCTCTAGCTCTATTTACGTCAATTCTTCTGACGGTCACGCAATCTCGTTTTTAGGGTGTTCACGCTCACTCTCATGTCACGTTACCTGATCCACGTGAGGCCAAGGGCCTGCTAGAGGCAGAAACCAAAGGCAAGCGTAAGCAGTCTTCGGCCAAAATGAACAAAACTCTTATAGGAATGATGTTATTGGGTGAAGTACTACACACATCGTGCGATGGATTAGCTATAGGAGCAGCCTTCTCAAAATCGGCAGGGGATGGACTCAGTACGACTCTTGCTGTGTTATTTCATGAAGTACCGCACGCAGTAGGTAAGGAAGTGATCAATACCATATCAATATTTTATGCTAAGCGAGCTCAGCCTCACTATAGCTCTCAGTTCCCATGCCTTTTCTGTGGGTTTTGCGCCCCCGGGTTGAAAACTCTTACCGTCCGTGCATTTAGCGAAAATACGCATTAAAAAAGTGGCAGTGTAATTTTGTTGAGAACAAAAGACCTTGAAATAATCATAACTTGCATGGAATACCACCCAGATCTGCTCATTAACTCTTCAACCCCTGATAGTGATGAGCATGTTTTTTTTTTCAACAGCATCATTCCTGAATCGAACATTATGGTCATGGCAATAAAGGAAGTTATCGCGAATTTAAGAAGCTCTTGACTGTTAAACAAATTCTCTTTGTCAGCACCTTAGAAAAAGTATATAGAACAGTATGGAGAATATGCATTCTGATGTTAGAGTGTAAAGAGCTAAGATCACTGTGATTTTCTGAAGTTGCCAACGTCAACATGTGACATTGCACAACTTTAATTTGCAACCTCGTTTTCTTGGGTTCTATCTACTTAATTGTCAGAAGCAGCAGCATTGTCAATATATTTGTTTTTGTTTTTTGATTTCTTCCAGGTACTTTCGCCATCTTTATCTCGTCTGGTCTGTGTATCCGCAGGGCACTGGGTCTGTTATGTTTTTGTTACTTATGCGCATACGCGGGTGTACTGGTAGGAGCGACCCTGAGCACCAGTCCTAATCTAACGCCCTGGATATTTGCCGTTGTAGCAGGAATGTTTCTTTATGTTGCACTGGCGGAGATGGTGAGTAGTGATAGCATATTCCCTGTTGATGAAATGGAATGACGCAATCTATAATGCCCGCGGTGCATGCATGGCATTGCTTCTATGAAGTAACATGATACGAACCCCAAGTCGAGACACCAATGTTTTAGTGCAAAGAGTCAAATTCAAGAAATTGGAACTAGCTTGAAAAGAACTTTTGCCAATTATGTTTACTTCGCGTCGTCACGAGCTTGGGACAAAGAATAACGAATCCTGAGTCCCCAAGAGGAATCGAACCTCAGACTTTCGGGTTTCGGGCCCAATTGCCCCACCAATAAGCCAAAGAGACTCTACGGTGGGTCACGCGTTCCTCAATTCCCCCACCAATGAGCCAAAGAGACTCTACGGTGGGTCACGCCTTCCTCAATTGCTCTACCAATGAGTCAAAGAGACTCTACGGTGGGTCACGCGTTCCTGAATTGCCCCACCAATGAGCCAGAGAGACTCTACGGTGGGTCACTCGTTCCTCAATTGCCCCACCAATGAGCCAAAGAGACTCTACGGTGGGTCACTCGTTCCTCAATTGCCCCACCAATGAGCCAAAGAGACTCTACGGTGGGTCACGCGTTCCTCAATTGCTCTACCAATGAGCCAAAGAGACTCTACGGTGGGTCACGCGTTCCTCAATTGCTCTACCAATGAGCCAAAGAGACTCTACGGTGGGTCGCGCGTTCCTCAATTGCCCTACCAATGAGCCAAAGAGAGTCTACGGTGGGTCGCGCGTTCCTCAATTGCCCCACCAATGAGCCAAAGAGACTCTACGGTGGGCCACGCGTTCCTCAATTGCCCCTACCAATGAGCCACAGAGTCTCTACGGTGGGTCACGCGTTCCTCAATTGCCCTACTAATGAGCCAAAGAGACTCTACGGTGGGTCACGCGTTCCTCAGTTGCTCTACCAATGAGCCAAAGAGACTCTACGGTGAGTCACGCGTTCCTCAATTGCTCTACTAATGTGTCAAAGAGACTCTACGGTGGGTCACGCGTTCCTTAACTGCTCTACTAATGAGCCAAAGAGACTCTACGGTGGGTCACGCGTTCCTCAATTGCTCTACCAATGAGCCAAAGAGACTCTACGGTGGGTCACGCGTTCCTCGTGCACGTACTACCAGGATAGGCAATGTCAAAAGTGTCATGCGCTTTAATAGAATCAGAAAGATAGCAAATTTTAAGTTCGGTATTGAGATAGAAGAAAATATTTTTCACTTTTGTGCTGTAAAGTCACGATGACAACTCCAATTTCAGGTTCCAGAGATGTTCACTAGCATAACATCAAGATCTGATGAACAACGGCAGGTGATCTTTCTACAAAACCTTGGACTTTTGATCGGATTTGCCATGATGATGACATTAGCTGCTTTTGAAGAAACGATAAGAACATTATTGTAGTAGTTAGCACTTAAAATGTTTGTTGCAATTATCCCTCGGCTTCCTTTTTAAACAGCAAAAGTGAAGTGCTGCAGAGACTGATTCCGGCGGAATTTTCTTGTAACCAGTTAGAAACAAATGACAATCAGAAACAATATATGACGTTCTTAAAATGAATTTGAAAAGGATACCCTTAATTAGTCTTAGGTTCATTTGAACTTTTCAGTATGACTACACTTTTTCACTCTTCCCTTTGATTTTCAAGGTGTGGGGCTAATTCACCTCTCAACTCGAAGGTCAGAGAAACTATGACAAACCTTTGTAATACATAGGCCACTTCACTTTCAAAGTATGCGGGGTAATTATAAACAGCAACCTAGAGAGGATCAGGCCATGCGCAATACAATTTTCTCTCACAGTAGTTTAATCACGTGATAGCGCTGATTAAGAGCATGGAAGCTAGGCTTAGCCACAAGTTGCTCGGTAACTTTTGAGATTTTCGGCAACTTTGGGCTTTTTTAGGTTCTTTGAAGCCACTTTCTTCACGTTTTGAGCCACATTGGTCAGTTTTCGATAGACATTTATTCAATTTATTCTAAAATACAATAATTAGGGCCCCCATGGGTTGATTTTTGTGATGCCTTATCACGAGGTCAGCGGTATCACGTTGCACGTTTTTCGAGATGGCGGACAATTACAGTGACTATTTGTTGATCAAGTGAAATGGAAAGAGCCTCTGATATTATCATTGGACTTTGACAAAAAAAGTGTTGATAAGAAGCAATGTGCGAATTTTTAATCTTTAACACCCACAAAAGGTACGAAAAGCAGAAAAATATTGGCAACTTTTCGGCAACCTTTTGAAAAAAATAGCAACTTTTTGGCAACTTTTAGACACTTTTATCGGCAACTTTTTTGGGATTCATCGGCAACTTGTAGCTAGGCCTAATGGAAGCAGGCCAATGGAAATACGTAAATAGGCCAGTTTTTTATTTGATTGGTAAATATCAATTGAAATACTTCCAAAGAAGTCTACTGTTTTGCAAAGAAATTGACTTTCAAGAATCTCAGAGAGTGCAGTCTTTCTATCTGATATTCCTTGTACACTGATTTCGGTCTTATCGTTGTAAGATTAAGCTTACAAGGGAGTTAGAACGAAACGGAGTATTTGATCCTTTTCTACAAAAAGTTGTGACAGACTTCTCTCTTGTTTATTCGATGTCCACTTCTAACTTTTTTATCGCTATATATAAAGTCATTTTTTATCCTCAAGTAACTTCCTCTTTTATGAAATTGACAACTTCAAAATTCTGGAACATTCAAATCACGTGGCTTGGGATAAAACAGGCGAAACAGGTTTGGACTCTTCACACGTGCCACGTACATACCGCTGGATAGAATGCGATCCATCAAGTCCCAGGCGGCTAAATGATCTGCAGTGCCTTCGTTCAGTCCTGTAAAAAGAAAGAGGATTGTGAGAGATGAAAAGATCAACCGCTGCCGTTTCGATTCTCTATGACTGAATCCCCTTGTATTCCTGAACAAGAGCTAAAGCATATTTCTGTTGTCACAGAATCAAACGACAACGTCCAATAAGAAAGGAATCAATAAGAACACGCAGTAAAAAAAATAGAAACTGCATAAAGCGCGGGAAAACGCCTATGACCAAGGTATGATCGACTTATAATTCAGTTTAACATCTGATTCGTGAGAGGAAAGTCCCAGTTTTCTCGACAGATTGGAAAGCGTAAGTAGCAAAACCAATGAAATTCCGAATACTTTTAACTCCGTTATGAAAATTGTTCAAAATAACGAAAAACAACTTGTCTAACCTCCAAGCCGATTCCAGTCGCTCTTGTACATGCCAATCATCTGGTAACCATGGTCATCCCACGATCCATACGGTTCAGCAGGAAACGCCCCACATTTTAAGCTGAAAAGGATGGGCGCAAATGCCATCCTCCCTCCTATGCAGTGCTATAACGTAAATGAGCAAATAACATTTAGATCAAGTTAACAAGACTCAATAGACTTTGCTCCATTAAAGCTTACCTTTCGACAATTTTCAAAAATCTCCGGCGCCAAATCCATATATACATCAGTAGTTAGAACAATACTCTGAGCATCCCGCACCAGTCTTACTCCGGCATTAATGGCGCGCGTCCAAGAGAACTCCCCGTTCAATTTTTCAACCTTGTACTTCTGCAACGACGTGGTTTGCAGAGTCCTTTCGACGTCCAAGCCTAATTTTCCAGAGTGTATAACCACTAACTGAAAATCGACCTCTAGGCTTCCTTGCAAAATTTGTTCCGCTCTTTCAATAAAACGATGTAGCCGCTGACCTTCACAATCAACGGCGATAATCAAATGAACTGCAACTTCTTTCTTCCAGTCCAGACCCTTCGGATAACAAAGTTGCGCGTTCTTCCCTCGTGGGTTTTCACCTTGTTCGTTGTTTTGTAAATAGACATACTCTGCGACTCTCTCCGGGTAATCTAAAGCATCACAGCTTAATTCTATCTCTAGAAAGTAAAGAACAACATTGTTCTCTTCATTTGTTACCATACGCTCGAGGGTAAGAATTCTCTCGACGAGATACTTTCTGGAAAATTAAATGAAAAAAAAAATTTGCAAATGAGGTCTAATTAATTTAATTTTAGTCATAGGTTTAGTTCGGATGTTCCCCTCTCTATCAAAGAAAGTGAGGAGCAGCGGATCCTATCGACCGACTGACCCACTGATCCACTGACTGACTGACTTACTATTGATTGACTGACTGACTTAATGACTGATCGGCCGACTGACTTATTGACCGAGATGCTGCTGATAGAGGAGTTTTTTTTTTTTTATAATTTTTGAATTTGCAAGATTATAACTTACTTTGGGAAAATTTTTTCGAGTCCTGCCACAAAAAGATCTACCACCAACTTAGCTTCCTCATTTTCCTGCCATTTCCGGTCATCATTAGTTACTGTGATTATTTCTTGAATAGCTTTGTTTCCCTGCAAACGGCGCATACCCGGCTTAGTCGCGGTTGGAAGCGTATAGCTGCACGTGGAGAGCGTGCGTTCCACAGCACTGTCCGTGAGGAACGAGACGAGATAAGGCTTTGTAATTCCTAATTGACTATTTGATGAACCCTTCGAAGATGTAATTTGAGACACCGATTGCGATTCCACGGAATGTGAAATGTACTCGGATGTTATGACCTCCAAATAATGCTTCCCAGGTCGGATCCAATGCAGTTCCACAAAATCAGCCCCAGTGCCTTGCAGATGAATAATCTCCAGGGGGTATTTATTGCCCTTTTCGAGCAGAAAATCATCGGAAATCTGTGAATCGAAGCAAATTTCACCGACAGGAGCGCTGCCAACGCGATCACGTGTGGCCACGCTCGAGGCAATTTTTAAACTCCCTAAACTCTGATTTGCACCAAACCAGAACTCTGATCCATCATCAGAATACAGAACAAACTTGTAATAACCGGTTTCTGGTGGGTGTAGATAACCGAATACACGCTGGCCGTAGTTGCTTCGATTTAAATGAATCCTTGTGTTCGAAATGAAGTATAACTCGTCGAAGAACCGTGGAAAGAAAGGAGAGTTGAGTAAATTAAACAATTTTCCGCCACAAACGTTTGACCAAACTTGAACTGGTAATTTCCCCATGATATTCTTAGCGTCATCCGGCAGTGATGGAGAGTTTGATGAAACCTCTCTTTGCCACAACTCGCCTGTTTCGTGCTTATTTGAGACATGGTTGTAAATCAACACTAAAGCCAGAACGGAAAGAATGCTGCTGATATGATCCAGAAGTCGGAACACACTTCTCATACTCGAAGATCTCATTGTTTTAAAATTTACGGAACGTTGGGCAAGAGTTCTACTTGAGATTTTAGACTACGTGACGTGGGAAAAGATTGAAAGAATAATTTCTCCAACTATTGATCTTCCCAAATACGGCGATTATTACTTTGTAACAATGGTGACCCTTGGCAAATCGCATCGCTTACAGTTGAACGTGGAATCGGAAATAATTATTTCGTCGTCCGATGATAATAATGTTGTTTTGCAAGCAGTTGAAATTTTGCCTGTGCTGTTGTCAGTTGTTCACATAGAAACGGGAAGTTTTTAGTAAGAATGCGTAACCGCATAGTTCAAATGTTTACCTGCGGAAAATAAAAACACGTAAGCAATACTCAAAATATATGTCGAAAAATATAACTAGATTCAAATAGCATTCATAAAAATAATTTCCTGTAGAAAAAGATTTCTATAAATGTAATTCATAAGTTATATAAGATAGTTCTATGTCGGTGATCAACGTCGTCTCAAGAGCCACGTAATTGTATAATGCTATTTGATAGACCAGTAAATTGATTCATATTCTGCGGCGATTAAGAGGATGGCTGGTTTGTTCGACTTTTAATTTTTCAAATTTTATTGAAAAATTCAAATAAGAATGATGATAAAGCACTTGAGGACCAAGGATATAGATCTCTGAAAAAAGCTAAGCGTTTATCGTGTAGCCCTGTTAGCTCAGTGGCAGAGCACTGGTCTCGTAAACCAGGGGTCGGGAGTTCGATCCTCGTACAGGGCTGTTTTTTTCTCCTAGAACTATTCATATAGCACATTTTTGATTAGGCCACCTGATCCTAAACACCATCTCCCGTGCTGATATTATCTCCTTCATGGTAATGAAATCATTAAAAACATTTTCTTGGTCCTGTAACTTGATATGTTGAAAGAACGCTGACCAATCTCACATCAACCTTATAATTACAATGTTGGAATCAGAATTTCGACTCAAGATAGTTTCTTTTTCTTTAATAAACTTTTTCATTGACTAACGTCTATCTATGCCTTTTCAAAGGCAATACTGTAACAACAAATCCAAAATAAATTTCCAGTTTGAACATTAAATTCACCATTATTGCCTTTTCTTTGAATTGGGCCGAGAAAACTCCTTTTTTTTAACCTCAGTGAAGTTTCTGTAATCAATTTCAGGCCATTGATATGCATTAAAGATCCTTGAATATAATTTAAAGGTTTTAAAAAGTTCATCTATTTAAAAGTATTTAGGTCATAAACTTTTACCGACACAAAAATAGGTCACAGATCTATTTTATTCCCCTCCCCCCCCTGCCTCAAGTATACTCACAAACTAACTATGAAGTCTTCTCTCAATACACAAAATTTTCTCAGAAAATCCCCTCTCCATCCCCCACTTAGTACAAAATTCCTTGGGAAATAAATCCATCCCCAATGGAACTTATGTTCTATAAAGAGCTTTGGGTTTTTTTTATCTTGTTTTAATTGGTTGTTTTGTTTTGTTTTGTCTTTGAGTTTTTGCCAGAGAGTGTTACTTTTAAAAAATCTCGTAGTTTAACAACCAATGATTCAGTTTATTTTTGCAACTTTTCTCGACATATTTCCTCCCACCTTTCAACAGGTGCCAAGACGAAATATTCGCTTGTCAAAACAGGTACCGGTCACATTCCGTAATCACTTGAACAACCTCTCACTCGAGATAGATCACAGAAAAGTATCATCTCTAAGAAGACCGAGCCACAGCTAAAGAACTTCTCACCCTTTTTCCTCGCTAAAGATTTCAAACAATGAACTGATGAAGTGATCACAAAATAAGTCACTTTTTAACCTACAGCCTTCTAGAGCCGATATGGAAGGAGGGAGATTATTTAGGACAGGAATTTACAAGATAGTAGGACACCATGTCAAGGTTTTTGCTTTAAATGTGATATTTCTCGTTTTTGTTTCATGCGCTAGTTTGCCTAAAGACAATATTCCTGTCCGAAGTGCTTCGCCTTTGAAAATCGATGTGACAAAACCCGCTTGTTCAGATAGAAGTGAAAAAAACAATACTACGCCTAGACCTATCTGCCAATCAGAGAGTTGTAGAGCGATTTCACAGTTAATCCAAAAAGTTCGCAATACGTCGGTAGAACCTTGCGACAATTTTTATGAGTATGCCTGTGGACAGTGGATCAAGGACAATCCAGTGCCAAAAGGGCATTTGCAGTTCTCTCGGATAACACAACTGTCCAAAAATAACGAGCGAATCATGAAAGAAAATCTGGTTGGCGATTCACCAAGTGACACGGAAACGCTGATGAAAGTCAAGAATTTTTATAGGTCGTGCTTCAACGAGGAAATCATTGACAAGCTTGGGAATAAGCCGTTGTTAGATTACATTGACAGCTTAGGATCTTGGTCTCTGGCTAAGAAATGGAAAGCAAAGAGTTGGAGTTTCTACGATACATTAGGTTATGTACAGAGGAACTACCCCGTGGAGGTGTTCTTCAGTGTAAATGTTATTCAGGATCCCGTTAAGAAGAAGGGAAGCACAGAAAGAAAATATGTCATTCTGGTGAGTATTTAACCGTAGCAAGAGAATTATATTTCGCCGTATGTCGATGTTGATGGTTAGTTGGCGCACAAGCCAGGAGACTCGTAGCTCTGAAGGTTCCCCACTTCCCACCCGCTCTGTAGAGAGCATTTCCGTATATTTGCATATCACAGGCCAGAAATTTTTTCAGCTTTCCTGACAGTTTGGTGAATGTGTGTCTATTTGTGTAGATATACGGAGACAATGTGAGAGTGTTTTGTCTCAAAACAAACAAATTGACCCCTACCAGGCTAGGGAAAGAGTTTGTGACATACCGCAAGTCCATCGCAGTTTTTTCCACGCCCTTTTCTTTTGTATTGTTGCCATAACAAAGCATTTTGCTGGTTCTGTTTTAAAAAACTGAACGGGGAAAGGACTGTAACGTTAGGTATCTCCTAATAACAGAAAAAATAGCGCAACGATTTTGAACTTTATGGGGTAGGACCTAAAACAGGTTTCCCTGGAATCCTAAAAAACAGTAGGCGAGAATCGTTAATATTCTTGCTCTCTAAGGTTACCATGCACTTTCTTCCAAGTTATTTGAGATTTACCTGGCTCCAGCTTATATTTAGGTCTCCTTGACTAAAAGTATCATAAGTGTTTAGTGCCTAGCATTATGTCCGAATTAGGTCATCTAAGGAGATGGACATCAATTCAGTGATATAACTTCGACCCATTTAGACACGCGTAAAACAATTTCGCTGGCGGCAAAGAAGACTCTTCTTCATATTTTTTTACTCTAAACCTTGCCCACTGTAAAGATCAACTCATTGTCTGGTTTGGGCACGTCTAAAAGAGTTCGTTGGACTAGCATAGTCGCCACACGTTTTTTGTCGAGGCCTGTTTTGCGCGTACGCAAGACTCCAATGATGACAAATGATAAAAGATTGTCATTCGTTTATCAATTGTATTCATGAGCATCTTCATTGTAATAAACGGTAACATTTACCAAAATACGATAATTTTTGATACCATAAAGCTGTAAAAGCTGTAAAGAAAATTATGGTAAATATGCATCAGCATTTTTTGTTCATTTGCTTTTTCCCTGTTTCCTTTAGATTGACCAAGCAACCTTAAATCTTCCGCAAATCATCTATTTCACAAGCAAAAAGGTAAAGCTAAAGCTAAATTTTCCTTAAATTTCTTAGTAAGGAACTGCTAGATGATTTTTTAGAGACCAGTGTTATCAATTGCCTCGGGGGGAGGGGGGGAGAGGTCGAAGGACTTTGAGGGATAAAATTGTTCTTAGGGGGGAATGCAGGGGAATCAGTCGTCTCTGACAAAATTTAAAGGGAGTACTGTGGAAAATTAGCTGCTAATGAAGGTTGATCTTTAAAATACTACAGAGCCTTTCGAGGGATATCAGGTGAATTTTATTGTGAGACAGGCAAAATCCTGCTACTCACCGCTTTCTTTCTACCCCCAACAGTCCCCCAAGAAAGAAATAGCCACATAGACTTACAGTGTGTTGTACTTTGTAGGTTACTGACCTCTGTTATTTGCCTTAGATTTTAAAAGAAGTGTGGAAGTACATGTCAATTATTACAAGTCTTGCTGGAGTCAGCAAAAAAGAATCCAAACGAGCAATGAGGGACTTGCTTCTTTTTGAGGGAAAACTTGCGCTGGTGAGAAAAAAACTCACGTTCAAACGTACTACAGTCATATATTTTCTTCTATAATGGGAACACTTAGTTTTTAGCTTGAAAGAGCTGAGATCACCACAATTTCCGAATATTCCCGAAGATTTCCGAATACCCCCGAAGATCTCCAGTTTTCCTGCAAGAGTCATAAACATTTCTGACGTAAATGCATCTATTGTGCTCTCTATTCTTAAATGTGAAGGTTTCCAATTTACATTGTTTTCCTTTTTTCCGTACTGGGTCGAGTTTATGTAACATTACGCGTTTTCATAAAATATGTTAGTTAAGGCTGTAATAGCTCAAACTTTTCCGGTAGGTGCAAGAAACTGGGGGCCGAAATGCCTTGACAAGTTTCCTAAATTTAAAAGTAAATTCGGCATTATCAATCGACGAAGGGCTAACGCTCGAAACGTCAGATTTTATAATCGTAACGGTGGCCAATTTCCCTTTTCAACTTTGTTGATATATTCATATTATTTCGTTACCCCCACCGACGCAGCCCCAAACAGTTTCTTTAGAAATTATCAGCCTTTATTCATCAGCATTATCAAGTTCCTTATTCATTTGCAGTACTGGGTTCCGAAAGTGTCCAAGAAATACGTACGGATTCCTATTGGTAAGCTGAAGGAGGCTCTTCCAGAGGTAAACCCCTAAAACCCCGACGTTTTTATCTTCGCGATCCTCTCTCTGTAGCGGAGCTCAAACAGCAAACCTTTGCCAGAGATTGGAGGGCTTCAAATATGTCTGACATTCTTCCATATCATGTCGATCGTGAACATTTGTTTATATCGCGCTTTCCCACACGTGCCACTAGCAGCTATGCAAAGTGAATGGAACAAAGAAAAGTGATAACATAAGAAAAGATTTCAAATCCCACAAGATTTTATCGGTACTTCATCATGGCCATCATTCAGGGCTATAGCCGCCACATCAACATGTCGTTTCGTTACCCAGTGTCTAGTCTCAGTCAATTCAGTGTTAAAGCATTGAACCGCGGAATCCGAAGGTCTGAGGTTCAAAACCAAAAGGAAGCTCAGATTTTATTCTTTTCCCCATTATCGTGACCAATGAATAGCATCGCTCTCTTGGTAAAAAAAATCTCGTTTCTTTGTCCATAGTTTCCTTGGCTGAAGCACTTGCAGAAGGTGTTGTCAAGGCCAGATCTCACAGAAGACGACTTGGTAGTGGTACTAGCCAATGACTACTTACAGAACATGTTGAACCTACTGCGCACAACCAAAAAGAGGTAAACTTATTCGAGGTTTTCTCCGTTGCTTAACTTTTTAACCCCTAGGAGTGATTGGCATCAAACTACTCCTCATACTTTCATGGGGGAATCAAAGGTCACCAGAATAAAGGAAATGATCGCCAAATGAAGAAGCTCTCATCGTTTCACAAATTTCCCCTACTGGTACCATAGAGAGTGTTTAGAGAATAGTATGGAGAATATGCCCATTGCTGTCTGGTTGAACAGGTTTGAGCGTGCAGTCTCTTCGCAGGGGGCCATGAAAGAAGTCAGGGTCCAGGGAAGAGACAAATTGACTTGGTCTACAGAGATTTTGTGAGGGATGAGGAGAGTAGGGGGGTTGCGGGGGGGGGGGAGTGAGGGATAAAAAAATATTAAGACAAACAGGGATTGCATGATGCTTTATTTTTAAATAGTTTCTTTTTGTGTATGATGCACGATCCTCGCAGTAGATAACGCTATTTAAGCAATAGCGAAAATCAGACCTGAAAAAAATCAGGCCTGTACGGGACTCGAACCACTCTGCGATACTAGTGCAGTATCGCACTAGTATCGCAGAGGTCAGTGGTTTGAGTCCCGTACAGGCCTGATTTTTTTCAGGTCTGATTTTCGCTATTGCTTAAATAGCGTTATCTACTGCGAGGATCGTGCATCATACGTATCAAATACCGCAGTTCAAAATATATGATTTTCATATATCTATTCTATCTCAGTTTCTTTTTGTGTAATATTTTTATTCCTTGTCGACAATCTCCAATGAGACGGACGCTAGACACAGGAGAGTGACAGCAATAATATATAAAACCCTGTGATATTCACAGACAAATTACTTAATATCGTAGTACCTGAGAACTTCTACCTAGTCATGAGCCCCGCGGTTTACCAATTTCACGCTGTTGTTTTTTAGTACTTTATCAACGTATATGGTATGGCGTTCCATAAAAGATGTTGTGCCTCTCCTTTCCAAAGAATTCCGAGCGGTTCACCGAAAATTTAAGGTCAAACTTCTTGGAAGTAAAAGAAACAAGACCAGAGCAGACATCTGTTTTAGCTACACCAACAACATCCTCGGCCCTATGCTTGGGGCGTTGTTCATCAGAAATGCGTTTGGTCCAAGCAGCAAGGAGAAGGTAGGAAATGCACCAGGCTATGTCGTTCCCAGTCTTAACTTTCTGTTTCCTCTTTTCAATTCGGTAACAAACAATGGATGTTCCACGGTTCTCTCTACGCAAAACTGATCACGTTATTTTTCCTTTTAAGGTGGAAGTAATGATGGACGGCATCATCCGGGCATTTAAAGATCGTGTGGCGGGCGTGGGCTGGATCGATAATCAAACTGTCCAAGCCGTCAGAGAAAAAGTAAGTTAAAA